ATACAAGTTACATTTTTTCGCTGAAAGAGAACTGAAACCTGACTAACAAGGGAGAATGCGCGAACTACATGGAGCCAACAGCTCCCAGATTTCAATGTAATTCAAAAGCAGTGTCGCTGATAGCAGACTTACCAGGAGGAGGAGGAGTTAAGAAAACTGGAGATCCGGCCTCAATAGAAGCCCCTTCTTGCAGCTTATTTATTTTTTTAATCACTGGACCACCATAGCATGTCAAAACGAGGGTGCAACAAGCAACTTACTCACTTACCAGTCGGATCGCACGGCTCACGCCGTGCTCTCCTCCTTCTCTTGAGCTCGGCTTCGCCGAGCTGGCCTGGCTTCGCCAGGCGGGTCCATAATTTTAACGAAATTTTTAGTGGGCTGTTAATAAGGCGCTGTAGTGATCGAATCGTAACAGACAGAGCAAGGCTTACGATCCCGCACAACTCAGCACGCGCTTCTATTTACAGCGGCGGTGTAGTCCGCGCCATGACGCCATTAGATACATAAATCTGTAGATAGAATAGATAATATTTTCTCTACTAACAGCTACTGTGTGTGGCTGCGGACCTATCCGCTTAAAGGGTGGAACAACTGGCCTCTGAAGACGACGATTGGGTCGAAACGTTAGGCCATTAATAAATGTTCCACCTATCAACCTCGTAAGGCACACAACAACTGAAAGACTTACAACTAAGATGCCGAGGTTGCAAGAAGAGAGAAGCTGGAGAATATCTGTAGATAGATACAATATGTAGCCGGCCAATACAGCGCAATATGACTCGCTCAGTGAAATAACAGATTCGTTTCCATTGCCTGCACCGGGAATGCCTACCGAGAAGCCTTTCTTTCATTTAGCATGCGATCCGCTCGTTGAAGTGTTTTTCGGAAAAGTATGCACATTGAGCCTTTGACTTGGGGTATAGTGATAAGAGAGGTAATGATAATGACCCCTTATCGTTTCTTATCGATTGATAAGATCCTGTCACCCGTCATCAATGTCCCTATCACTGAAACTCTATAATTTGGTAGTGTAAAGGCTCCAGCAATTTGACTGAACAGCATTGGCAACGTTCCTTATCAGCCCCTATCAGCTGTTATCACCTCACGTGCCGTGTCCCCATTCCAACTCTATATCATTTTCTGAAATTAATGCCTAGCTGATGCTGTGTTCCGCGTTATGAGTATGGTGACCTTACCATTCTAACTCCCCTTATCAAATCCTATCAGCTGCTATCATTCCCTGTCACCCATCAATAATTTTCCTGTCTCACGTCCTATATCATACCTTGGAACCAATGTCCCACTGTTACTGTGTCCCGCACTATGGGCTCGGTCACCCTCCCCTTCTAAGGCCCCTTATCGAATCTTATCAGGTGCTCTCATTCCCTGTCACCCATCAATAATGTTCCTGTCCCACGTCCTATATCATACCTTGGAACCAATGTCCCACTGTTACTGTGTCCCGCACTATGGGCTCGGTCACCCTCCCTTTCTAAGGCCCCTTATCGAATCTTATCAGGTGCTATCACATTCTATCACCCACCAAAAGTGTTCCCGTCCTGCCACGTATATCACTTCTTGGAACTGTCGTCCTATCTTTTCTGCGACGCTCGCTATGAATTTCGTGACAGACAGACAGACGCACACACAAACACACACACACTTACAGACATACTTAGCGGATTATATATAGTAGGATAGCGGAGCGCGCAGGAAGATCAGTCATCAACGACGCTGACGCGAGCACAGCGTATTATTCATTGATGATGCGGCATCTGCGCCTCTTTCGCCTGATTTGGGCTTGATCGGCTTAAACGATACGCTCAGCAGGCAGATTGGAGCGCTGGAAGCGACTTCCTTGGCGGTTGCTCACTTGAGGAAGGTTTTGTACTCTCGTCTAGGACCGAGCGTGCCTTCGCAAACTGGGATGCCAATTCAGTGCTGAGCTGAGACGTCTTCGGCGATTACACACGGAGTTGCATGATTGTCTCATCGAACGCATAAATAATTCAAGAAGCGGGCCTTCAAAGAAAGGAACGCGCCCTTTCTGAGCTACATCGCTAACGGGCACTCCTGCCGTAGTGGGGGGAGTTTGCAATATTAGAACCCTCCCTCTGAAACTTCCTCTCTGAGTGCCCTCCCTCCACCTACACTCTAGTTCGCTGCGGACGGTTGGGTGTGTCACCCCGTCAAAACCGTTCTCTGTTTTCTTGTTGGAGCGCGCATGCGACAAAAAGTGGTAGAAAACGAGTAATACGAACGATATGATACAGTCATATAATTTGCTCGCTCTAACGACGGTAGAGAACGGGTTTGGCACTGCGCCAAATCATCCCTCCTCACGCTCAACCGTCCACTAGCCAAACTCACATATACCTACACTCGCTAACCCCTTAGATGTGGTAGCCGTGGCTACGCATTACCAACTTGAACGGGCTTTTCTGGTCCATATACGGAGAAGTACGGGATACAACTAAGTGCAGGAAGGAGCAATGCTTGGGCTAAACCGGTGCAAAGAGAGAGCCATCCAGCTCTATTGCATGAGCTTTGACTCGACCTTTTTTGGATGGGGTGGGCTGCACTGTCATGCTGAAGGCAAACTCCGCGGACAAATTTTTCCCTCTGATCGACGATTCGCTTCAGATCTCGTAGCTGCTTTGCGTACGGATTGACCGAGGAAGCAGCTTCTTCATCCAGCAGTTTCACGACCCGCAGCTCCCTCAATCTGAGTTCACAGGTAACCCAAACCTCACTTCGTCATCAAAACTGTAGGCTCCCGCTTTGAAGCATTAGCGTCGTGGAAGGTTGTCCGATAATTGAGGGCATCGTCCTTATTCAGCTCCATTATTTTGGCATCTGCAGCTATCATGCTGGCGTCAGGTGGTGGAAGAAAGAGTTTGAGGAAGCGCTTGGAGGGGTCGGCGGATAAAATCCTTGTCCATATTGCAGAAGAAGAAGCAGGAGTCAAGCGAGTGGTACTAATAGAAAGACCACTCCTTGATGTATAAGTGCTCACATTACCGGTTACCCCTCTTCAGGTAATGGGCAAGTATTTTGAGTTCGAAAAAGTATGACAGAACTTTCCCGCCAACCTAATAGTAAGTTGCTTTTTGCACCCTCGTTTTGACATGCTATGGTGGTCCAGTGATTAAAAAATAATCAGCTGCAAGAAGGGGCTTCTATTGAGGTCGGATCTCCAGTTTTCTTAACTCCTCCTCCTCCTGGTAAGTCTGCTATCAGCGACACTTTTGCTTTTGAATTCCACTATCTACAAATTGAAATCGCGGAGTGTTGCCCCAGTAGTTCCGTATTCTCCCTTGTCAGGAGGTTTCAGGCTCTCTTTCAGCAAAAAATGTAACTTGTATTGTAGCTTTCCGTTTGTCAACAATTACACTTTAGTGTCTGAAAATAATAGTGCCAAAAGCTGATCAATAAATATGAATCCAAAAGTCTCCAATGTTTTTACTCTATCCCAAGACTAGTCGAAAGAGTCAACTAGCGAGACAGGTTAAGACCGCGTCCAAACTTCGCGAACATGGAGGTTTCACGGTACAGAACAATGCGCCACAGGAATAGGATTAGACCGAAATCAAAAAAATTCACTCCGACCTAAGGGAGTCATGGATTCTCCAAAAATGCCAGTCGGGCAGAAACAACCGACTCTCATCTGTTTCTCAGTCGTACATTCTCGTGCATGTCTCCGAGTGGCGGATTCTTCATCGGGAAGTATGAACACAGCCTTACGGTGCGCATGGACGTTCAAGCGTAGTTGATCAATATACAGTAAAATGCGCTCAATGAATAATTAACCCACTTCACACTTCAACTCTGGATATTCCTTCCGACTTCGGCTGAAACGTGGTAAAAGACCCCAGGAAGCAAATCGAACAGCATATTCTTGAGAAGTTTCGCTATCAACGTGTCGATGAATTAGTGGCATTAACTGAAAAATCGATGACACGTTCCACTAACAGATAATCAGTGAAGTTCATTCATAAAGCGTAACGTGAATAACAATGATGAAAAATGGGCCCTATTTTGTGAGGTGGGAGGGGGCCACAGGGCACGCCATCGTTGTGATGATCACAACGGGGGAGTCGTATCTGACCGCCAGAGAGGGTCGTATTTGGTCTGAGAAAATTTTTTTGGTAATGATTTCTCTTGTTTCACGGACGTTATAGGGAGGGGGGTTGTATTTGGCTGCTGTTGAGAGAGAGAAATGTGAAGCGAAAGAGCGCGCATGCCAACGTCTTCTACCTGATCAGACTTGGAGGAGGATTGAGGGTGAGTCAAGGTTGATTTGCGACTCTATCCGATCTAGGGCCGAATCTATTCTTTGTGCGAAATACGACAGACTGCTGGGAACAAGGAGGGGAGGCGACAATACTCGTGAGAACAGTAGAACCACTGACCACCACCACACGAACGAAGCAGTTCAAAGTGGCGAACATTC